ATTGGAAGAATTAATATTGTTAAAATATCTATACTACCCAAAGTGATCTACAGATTCAGGGCCATCCCTACCAATGACATGCTTCACAGAAATAGAAAAAAGAAAAAATCCTTAACTTTGTATGAAACCACAAAAGACTCTGAAATGCTAAAGCAATCCTGAGCAAAAAGAACAAAACTGGAGGTATCACACAGTCTAATTTCAAAGAATACTACAGAGGTGTAGTACTGGTATACTATAGCATAGTACTGATGTAAAACAGACACACAGACCACTGGGATAGAATAGAGAATCCAAATGTAAGTCCATGCACTTACTCCCATATTTTTGACAAAGGTACCATGAACGCACATTCAGGAAAGGACAAGCTCTTTAAAAATTAGTGCTGGGAAAACTGGGTATCTATAAGCAAAAGAATGAAGCTAGATCCCTATCTTTAACCATGTATGAAAATCAACTCAAAATGGATTAAATACTTAAATTAGGTCTTGAAACTATGAAACTACTAAAAGAAAACACTAGGGAAACACTATAGGAAATTAGTCTGGGCAAAGATTCTTGGGGTAAGGCCTCAAAGGCACAGGCAACAAAAGCAAAAATAGCCAAATAGGATTACATCAAGCAGAAAAGCTCTGCACAGCAAAGAAAATAGTCAGCAAAGTTGAAGACATAGCATGCAGAATGGGGAGACTATTAGTATTTGCAAGCTATCCATCCAATAAGAATATAATGATGGATGAAACTGGAGGTTACTGTGCTAAGTGAAATAAGCCAGGCTCAGACAGACACACGTTACATGTTCTCACTCATATATGGGATCTGGAAACGTGGATCTTATGGAGGTAGAGAGTGGAATGGCAGATACCAGAGGCTGGGAAGCAAGGGGATGAGAGGGGATAAAGAGTAGTTGATTGAGGGGTATAAAAATGCAGTTAAATAGAAGGAATATGTTCTAACATTTGCTGCCACAATAGGGAAATTATAGTTAATAATTGTATATTTTTAAATTTCTAGAAGAAAAAAAATTTACAGTGTTCCCAACACAGGGAAAAGATTGAAGTGACTGATATTCCAATTACCCTGATTTTATGATTATACATTTTATACAGGTATCAAAACATCACATGTACCCCCAAAATATGTACATCTCTTATATCACAATGAAAATATTTGATTAAAAAATAAATAGGCCTGATTTTATTTCAAAGTCATATTACCAGGGATTTTTTTTCTGATCTAAAAAGATGACAAATTTTGCTGAATGAAGGCTCAAATGATTACAGTGGACCCTGCTGGCATCCCTGAATCAGATCCCCCAAGGTCTGTGCGCTGGTTGCCAAGAACGTGAACCTGAAGCCTTCAGAAGATTGCTTGGGCACTGGAGCCGTTGACAGAAACAAGAGTGGGAAATGCCTGGGAGTTCCAACCTCCTGAGGCCAGCCCTAAGCCAATGACAGACAGCTCAACAACAGGGAATCCTGGCTCCTCTGCATGGCCATGCGTGTCAGGCGTGGCTGGGACTTCACCTGAAACCACACGCCTGCTTTGCTGCTTCCCTCCCTGCCCTACTCACACTCTCCCTGCCTCTCAGGATTGTGTCCCTGCTCAGTCACTTGAACCCAGCTCCTCCTCTTGGGGTCGAATAAGGAGAAGGGACGGGGAGTGTGCAGTTGTCTTCTGATCCCCGTTCTCTCTGAGCGAGCTGGGGTTCAGAGCACCACAGTGCTGTCTCTGCTTTGAGAAGATCTGGGCTTTCAGGGGAGAGCCTTACGTAGGACGCCAAGCACAGTACTTAGATAATACTCTTATCTTCTAACGCAGATGTCAGTCACATTTAAAACAAAGTGTATTTTTTTGCCAGCATCTCAGGTTTCTAGCCCAGTGTCTGTGACAAAGTTAGCAGCAGTCAGATGTAGAATGAAGATCAAAGCTGCACCCATGTCTTCGGGCTGACTGTGGGCTCAGGAAACTCGTAGGGCCCTCTGAGAGGTATACCCCCATAGACAGCAATGTTGGTGTCTTAAGTTATGGGGGCCTCAGGAACAAACAATGCTCTGTTACAAAGATCGGGAGCTTTAATAAAACCCTGATTTGCATTTTTTAAAAAAACTATAGATAGTGGCTATAAATTCAAATGTGCATACATGTATATTCTGTAAAAGGATTAGAAGTTCTCCCAGAATGGAAGATCTTTCTATATATTCAGTCTCAAAATATGTATTGAATACCTCCTGTGCGCCAAGTATTTTCTAAGATAATTTTTTAAAGACTCGCTACATGGGCTGTCTTTGTGGAATGAGTAATTGAATAAGGAGAAGGGACAGGGAGTGTGCAGTTTTCTTCTGATCCCCGTTCTCTCTGAGCGAGCTGGGGTTCAGAGCACCACAGTGCTGTCTCTGCTTTGAGAAGATCTGGGCTTCTTAGGGTTGACCTGGAGGTTGGAGAAGCAAAAGTCACACAGGTTTAAAATTGTGACTGATGAGGTGCCCTGGTACTGGTGAGGGCAGTGGGTAGCTAGAGAGGAGAAAACTCCATGATATGTGGGTAAGTGCTGGGACTGAGGGGTTTCCTAGAATATTGGACATTGGGTAGTAACACTGGAAATGTCCCCGGTCAGTCACCCCATATTTTTATGGCTCCTGTGATCCCGTCTACTGTGGGGCTGTAAACCTGGTGGGAAGGCATTTCCTGTATCTCCCGGTAAACAGGTGAACATCTTATCTTTTCACTTTCCTGTATGATACATGAAACTTGACCCCTTTCCTTGATTTCTATTAAAAATTATCCTACTTAAGTCATTAATGTTTGAAGCAGAGTCTGCGGAAGGTTTGGGGAGACAGAGTGATTTTATTGCTAAGAAACAAGCATCACACAGACAAAGGAGCTTACATTGAAATCATACCCCTGCTTAGGGGCCCCATCCCTGTGACAGTAGACTCTCTGTCTGTTGGCCAGTCCCTCTTTCTCCTCTGTCCTCCATCCTCCTCTTCTCTGTCTTCTGCTTCTCACCATGCCCAGATTCTCACTCACCGATGAGTTTGATTAGTTTGCCTGTATCTTTGTAATCTCTTTCTATTCTATGATTGTAGACCTCAGTTCTCAGCAAGGGTTTACTTATGCAGGAGCCTTCCTGTACAAAGTCAGTTCCCTCCTCTGGGTGTAAGGTTGTTGCTGAGGTCGGCCTCTTGGGCGCCCTGAATTTTTGCCTAGTGGACCTCCTGCAGGAGGTGTGGAATTGCTGCCTGGACCCTCACCTCATGCTGCATGGGGATTACAGTGGTGGGGGTCGCAGAAGATTTCAATACTTGGAAAAATCTCTCTGGTTAGAGACCAGAATGAAGGAATTCTCCAAGTTGGGGAAAAAAGGTTAACGTTAAAAATGGAAACTGGAGAGGAAGGCTCTCATGAAAGACATGCTTTACTATGAAAATGCTCAGCGTATCATAGGGTTAGCCAAGCCTTAACAATCCTCTTCTAAAGCACTCACCTCTGCCTACTGGGGGATTTTCCTTGAGAAATTCACCTTTAGCTTTGTTGGTGTGTTAGCACCTTTTGAAACCATGTTCATGGCCAGTTTTCATGGCACATATTTGTCCAGTAAGTGATTAATTCTTTAAGTGAGCTGGTATATGATAGACAATAGATTATCTCTGTGGATATCTTAGAAAATCGTAGACTTATAGGATTTAGACTTTAAAGAAGTTCCCACCACAATGCCCTCAATTTAAATTTGAGGAAAACAAAGCTCTAAAGAAGTGAGTCATCTAATTGGGACTAGATTCATCAATGTCTTATTTCCCTGGAGACAGATCTTCCCCAACCCTGGGGATCCATCTCTGGCTATTGGTAAATGTGGCCTTACCCAACCTGCTTCTAGCAGACACTGTTGAATTTTCACCAACATAACTGATTCACCACAATCACCCTGGGGGGCAGGTGTTACCAACACCATCCCCTTGGTATAGATGGTGAGAGGATGTGCTTACAGCCTCACAATCAGGGAGCGGCTGAGCTTGGATTTGAACCCAGGGAGTTGGGCCTGCTAGGTAGGCTCTCAACACCAGTACCACCCTGCCTGTGAGCCCAGACATAAAGGACATGGACGTGCACTCTGCACTCTTTCTGGGATGCTGCTATCATTGGAAGTGTTTGAGCAGACTGTCTAATCAACATCCTTCCCTAAACAACGGAAAACAGGAGCAATGTTTCCCAAACTGCTTTGAAACTGTCATTTAAAATTTTACTGATGAAAAGTTATTTTAATTGTCTCTGAGTTTTCAAGGCTTTCCAGAAAAAAAAAAAAAGCCTTGCTCGAATTTTTTATTCATTTTTTGCAGTCAGAAAAAAAAAAAACAAAAACATTCTTCCTCAGCCCTTAGAGGACCAGGAGCAGTTTGCTATCATCATAACTCTGCAGAGCCAGCAACTTTTCTTTCATGAAGCTATTTCCTATCTCTTGATACCTTCAAGGGGTCTATTAACTGTTTTAGATTGTACTCCGGCCCCTTGGTATAGAGTGTAGTGTATTTTTTTTTTTTCTTCACCCAGGCTGGAGTGCAGTGGTATGATTATAGCTCACTGCAGCCTCAACCTCCCAGGCTCAGGTAATCTCATCTCAGCCTCCCAAGTAGCTGGGACTACAATCACACACCACCATGCCCAGCTAATTTTTTTGTATTTTTAGTAGAGACAGGGTGTTGCCATGTTGCCCAGGCTGGTCTTGAACTCCTAGGCACAAGTGATCCACCCATCTTGTCCTCCCAAAGTGGTGGGATTACAGGCATGAGACACTTTACCCAGCCATGTATTGTTAAGGGAATGAATGTTTTCTTAAGTCAGGTGATGAAAGACGTGAAATGTAGGTATCTTAACTGTGTTCCAGAAAGATATGTTAAGCAATTGATGTGTGTGTGTGCTGCAATGTATACATTACAATGAGATACTCTCAGAATGAACCTGTGGACTGTGTGCCTTACTGAGGTCCTCTTTCTGCCTTCCAGTTTTACGGGAGCCCTATACAGTCCGTGTGGAGGACCAGAAAACCATGAGAGGCAATGTTGCGGTCTTCAAGTGCATTATCCCCTCCTCGGTGGAGGCGTACATCACTGTCGTCTCATGGGAGAAAGACACTGTTTCACTTGTCTCAGGTAGGCTTTGCATCTCCAGGGTGCAGGACGCCATGCTCACCTTCTGAAAAGGTTATTTCAGAGATGGAATCGGGTCTCCGTTTATGTGTTTATTATAATTCAGAATTAGTATTCTTAAGGTTGATGCTATTTTGTAAGTAAACCTGAAATAAGTGTTTGACTTATAATGCTTGATTCAGACATCCTTTGGTGAGTTGACTGATGAAGAGAAATTAGTTACCGGCACTGTAACTGTAGCCATTATGTTAACTTTTTTGAGAAAATTGTGGTTTTATGTTTGCTTCTAAAAACAAGGTAGTAGTATTTTGCATCTGTGAGAAACCTCAGCATTGCACATATAGCTGATATTCTGAAACTAAAACCTGGAAAGTGGAGACCCTGTTTTCTTGCCCTTTGGGTGTTTTCCAGTGTCTTGAGAGTTATGTTGTATCTCTGACCTATTTATTGAAGATTCTACTAAGAATATATATGTAGCCCTGAAATGTATATTTGCATATGAATAATTTGTTGGCTTATGTTTGGTATCTAGAAAAGATTTTAAATTTAGCCTCCAAGAAACTTCAGTTCTTTATTTCTAACGGTGTTGAATTCTTGCTCTGCGCTATTGATTTCTTGCTGTGTTATTTACCTGAAAAGGCTACTGTCCACGTGATGCGTGGTGTTCCTGTTCTGTACATCCTCGGGTAATGACTGTTGGCATATCTCGAAATGTGTGTTGGCTGCTTTTGGAAAAGAATTGTGAGGAGCGTAGTCTGTGTTCTGATGTGGATTACAAATAGTTGCCTTTTTTAAACATGTCTTTATGACCTCACATGCAGATGCACACACACACACAACACATGTTAACACACCTCTTGACTAAGCAACATTTTATCAATTTATAGAGAGAAGAATTTGGAACTAAACCCTCATGCTGACACACCATTTTTGTTTTTCAGCCTATTGATTAGCTAGAGAGGTCGGTTACTCTACACCAACGACCAGAAGGCATTTAAAAGATCCAAATCAAAATTGAAATACATTGCCATCATAGCACATTACAGGAATCTAGGATATAATGGAATTCTTAGTTTTTATCAAAAAAAATTGTCTTTACAGTGAATTCAAAACCCCTCATGCTTCAATGAACAATACGTTCCTTGCTGTTATGTTGATTAATCATCATAATTTAACTTAGGGTGTTGAAAAATACTAAGCTTAATAGCTGAAATGTGCTTGTGATAATCAGAATGGAGACTCACTTATACACTTTTATTTGCTAATTTTCTATGTTGAAACATCTTCATCTTCTCTCCTTAGGGGTCATGTTATTTTTCTTAATGGCAAATGGAAGGATTTGATGACAGTCATCTGACTAAGTTCGGAGTCAGACGGGAGAGGCCCTCAAATTTATATGGCAAGGGAGTATAGATTCAGGGAGGGGAAGAATTGGGGTCTATCTTTTCAGTTGTCCAGACTCAGGGACCTAGAATGGAGACCTCATCATCGTTTAACCCTGTCATCCAAATTTGTGGCTTCAGGGTCTGCTCTGGCAGAGGAAGAGACCATGGGAGAATTGCAAACATCTTCTTAGTGCTTCCACTTGGAGGTGACACATGTTATCTCTGCTCATGTTTAATTGGACAAAGCAAGTCTCATGGCCATGCTTGACCATTGTCAATGGGGCATGTGCCTAAAGGAAGAGAAGAACTGAAATCTGGGTGAGAAATTGAAATATCTACCAGGAGGATTTTTTAACCTTTATTTTAAGTTCAGGGGTACATGTGCAGATTTTTTACACATGTTATCTCTGCTCATGTTTAATTGGACAAAGCAAGTCTCATGGCCATGCCTGACCTCAATGGGGCATGTGCCTAAAGGAGGAGAAGAACTGAAATCTGGGTGAGAAATTGAAATATCTACCAGGAGAATTTTTTAACCTTTATTTTAAGTTCAGGGGTACATGTGCAGATTTTTTACACAGGTAAACTTGTGTCATGGGAGTTTGTTGTACAGATTATTTCATCACCTGGGTATTAAGCCTAGAACCCATTAGTTAATTTTCCTGATCCTCTTCCTCCTCCCACCCTCCACCCTGAAGTAGGCCCTAGTGTGTGTTATTCCTCTCTATGTGTCCATGTGTTCTCATCATTTAGCTCCCACTCATAAGTGAGAACATGTTCTACCAGGAGGATTTTTAAATATATGTGGTTATGCATAATATGTTTGTTCTTTTGTTTCCTAGACGTCTTTAATTAGCAGCATCCTCATGTTCATGTTTCACCTTTTTGCAATCTCTGTGAACAGACTTTATTTTCCTTCAAATGTGAACCTAATTAAATAAAAAAAGGAAATGTATATCTAGTGAGGGGATGATGCTGGCATACAGAATATAGAGTTTATGTCTCTCTGATAGGAACTGTTAAAGCCCGTGTCCTCTCCTCAGTCAGATATTGGAGCTTCATCCTTTCATACAATTTTAAACGCAAAAGTTTTGGAGAAGCACTTGGCTTTTACTTCACAACAGCATCTAGAAAATAAATACAACACAGGTGTTTATCTTATTGAGGAATACATCATCAGTAAGAAGCTTTGGTTTGTTTGTAAGTAAGTCATTGAAAGAAAGAGAGAGAGAGACTTCATATCAGGTCGTTCAACCTGAGTCGAATAGACTTGTCACTAAAAATGACCTTGTAAATGACAACAAGGCACCAAAGCAGTGGCATGATCTGCTTATAGAAAGTCTGGAAATTGAGCATTTTACCTGACTTCTCTTGCTCACTGCTGCAGTCAGACCCTGTTCCCAATGTCTGAGCTCCACCCATCAACAAGGCCCAGAAAAGGAGGTCATGAAGTCACTGGAGGTGACACATGGTTTAAAACATTGGAGATCTTAATAAATAAACCATGCTCAGGAGGTTTAGGTGGAGAAGGGTTATATTTCTCTCTGGTTACCAGGACAAGGCACAGATAAGGACAGAGGACAACCTCCTTCCCCCATCACCCAGGCTGTGCCAGGGGTGGAGGGCGCTAAAAGGAGGACCCTCCCTCCTCCACGCTGGCCGGGGCTGAGTCACTCTGGGGAAGCACCGGGATTCTTGGCTTCACGGAATGACCTTGCATGGCACAGAAAACCCCAGGAACAGAGGGACTTTTTCTAAATTAGTCCTGACCTTCAGGGAAGCTGTCCTGAATGCCATATGCACAGCAGATGATCTGTAAAAGGTTAATTTGTCTCTGTTTTGTATATAAACTGTAACTCCTGCTGAACTAGTTTGGATTTATTCCTTGGCATGGCCGTCTCCCAGGTCTCTCTTCCCGGATTATCAAGTCATCCCAGCCTGCTGGGATCTGGCTGGGAAGTTTGTCCCAGGAAGGATTCCTACTCTGCACAGATCACTTCCTTTAGTGGTTGATTCTCTCTGTGGAGAAAAGCAATTAACTAAATCAGCCATGGAAATAAGCCTGTGCAAGTATCTTAGTGAGTGAGTTAGGAGCAGGTATAGGAGTGCCAGAGAGTTGACCTAGGAAAGCTGGGAGCTGATGGCAGTCAGGAGAGGGTCCAGAAACATGATTCACAGGCCAAGGCCCAAGGTGCCCTGCTGGGCTCCCAGGAAGAGTGTGACTTGTCAGCCTGGGGGATACTTAGGTGCTCAGCCTTGACTGTTGGGAGATCCCCTGGGAAGGTCAGAGCAGCAAAGGCCTGTTTCGAACAGATGAGCTTGGGGTTTATGTGAATCTCTAGGCCAGGGGACCTTTGGAAATCCTGGTGAAGGTAAATGGGTGTTTGTCTTCTGCAAATTCTTTTTTAATGAAAAGCAAAATTAAATATGTTGGTGTATTTCCCTAAAAAGAAACAAATTGGTTTCTATTAGTGTGTCTCACTAGGTTTTGCCCTTTATTTTGGTTAAGAAAACAAATGAGTAAGTTATTTTCTTGAGAAGCACAAATGCAGTGTTTGTCAGGGTTTAATGAGTGTCGTCCATTGTCACGGTTGCTTTCGGGAGCTTACTGCACATGAGGGCCTGCATTGATTTCTTTCCAGGGCAGGCTTCGGTTGGCCTGAAGGTAGACGCAGGAATCCAGTTATGCCTCTTCATCATATGAGGCCATGAGGCTACCAATATCAAGGACATTAATGAGTTCATTGATTTTGAGTGACCTTTGGAAAGAATACCCCAACAGCCGAAAAGTAGAAATCCCATAATTCCACTAAATGGAGGAAAGATTCATAATATCTGATGTTGCTTTTCTGCCTGCCTGGGCTCTTCCCTGGGCCCTGGGGCCTCACAGGGTGGCCCTTCCCTCTGGTGTGATGGATGGGGGTGGGGTAGTAAATGAGCAGAGGAAAAACATCTCAGGGACAGGCACACAAGGTGCCATCAGGTGACCTCAGTTAATATGACAGATTCTGACCTATTGTCTTCTTAACTCTCTAAAATGAGCCAGGAAAAACAAGAGTCATGATGTCCATGTGGATTTTTTTAGACATCCTGATCACTTATCCTAAGCTGCAATGAAATCCTTTTAAATGCCATAATATTAATGTAGCCCAGTAAAAATATAGTAGCTTGAATAGCAATGTGCTTTTGGAGGTGTTGCTGATGTGGAGATACATAAGACACCATCCTGGAAAAAAACAATATCACCGGCTTTATATTTGGGTTTCCCTTGACAGGCCTGTTGTGAATTTCCTCCCGATTAGGGAGGCCAGCAATAAGAGAGCCCAGCCTTCCGTTTCTGTTTCTTCTGATAAAATTGTGAGAATCTCACCAGGGGTTTAGCTACATTAACATCAAAGACACAGCCCAAGGGTAACTGGATTTGGAAAACGGAAAAAGCAAACATTTTACTATTCCCAGAGAAACTGCCTCCCTCTTTAGCAGTGGCCCAATTTTCTGCTGTCATATTTCCTTTCTGAATACTTCTATTAGTGATGATTCAAGGAGAATTTTATCTCTTAGGATCACTGAGTTCAGGTCCAAGGATGATTATCTTCTTTCTGTGTTTTGGGTAAATGT